GGTTTTTTAAATATTTTTTTTTAAATTTTTGAGCAAATCAGCATAATCTTCAGATTATGAGGATTTTCAATAAAATATTGTTTACGCTTATAGTTCCCTATTAAAACAGGGTCAAAAGTCCTATTTTGAATTGCAACATTATCCTTCTTAAATAATATTATTTTAATTTCAATTCTAGCGACACTTCTAAATAAAAATAGCCCACTTTTAGTGTTACTCTTTTCAGATATCTCAAAATTAACGATTTTTGAGTCGTGTCATTGTTCATGCATGACAAAAATTTTTCAATTAACGCAGAAAATTTCATAATAATTTTCAGATACTTCAGTAGAGAATTACACTCTACCTTACAAATGGTAACACTATATTCACAAGTATTCTAAATTAATTTTGTACGATTAATTGAACAACGACAAGTTCCACTTTAAAATTGACAGCATTGCAGCAAAGTTACACAACCAAGCCAGCACATTATCATACCAGACACACATGTAGTGCTGTAGAATATAAATGTAATAAGACAAAGGGAAGAGTGAGCGAAGAGGACTCGATTCGCTCGTAAATTCTCTGGCTTCCGACAAGCCACGAAGGATATTTCGGAGACGATTCGAGGAGACTGGCAGGAAAAGGAGAATTGTAAAATTAAAGGGTTCCCTTCGGGAACGATTTCGAGGGTTCGTACGTGACACTCACCCTTATCGTCGGCGCGAAACTCTTCCTGAAGTTGTTCTTTGGTTGGCTCTGAGTTTGATTTGGTCCCCGTCTGCTTTGTCGAGGATTCAGTCTCTTTCATACTCTTCCTGGCGTGATGGCCGCGGAACGCCGCTTGTATCCTCGTCGCGGCTTCTTCCCTGTCTTTGTCTGAAGCTTTCTCTTCCTTCTTCTGCTCCTCCTTACTCTCGCTCGACTCCTTCGACTCCCCTGACTTCCCTTGTGAACCTTCCTGTGACTCTACCTTCGCCGAACTGCTCTCTGATGATTTTGGGATATCTGGAAATTAGGAGATTAATTAGAACTTGTAGAGTGAATGATGGTACACACTTTATTTAAATCAGTGGATTCGCGGTACAAATTACGGAATATACAAATAGAGACGCGACCCCGTCGGTTTTCGGCGAGAGATCGCGGATGCAGCTATTGTCAATGGTTTTACGCCTTGACTCGGCCAGATTTCCCAAGGAGAGGAGGGGGTATGGGAGGAAGAGGGAGAGAGTAGAAAGGGAAGAGAAATTGTCGTCTATGACACGCGTAAGAGACGTCTGTTTTCTCTTTGGGGATATTTGGGAGCATTGGATTGAACCTGGAGGTGTCGCTATGACCCGCGTAGGAGCGTCTGCCTCTAGGAGGTGGATAGGTGAAAATGACGAGGGTAGGAGCAGGACAGGAAACCTGGTCCTGGAGAGTCTTCGCTCGCTCCGTACTGACTTTTTGCACAAGACACACTGAGTGTCGTCTATAAACCCGCGAAGGAGACGTCTGCTCGATGTTTGCTAGTGTAGTCTTGTTTTGGCTTTCCTGGAAAGACTGATTTCCTATGGAGAAAGGCCGTCTTTTATATGTTTCAGGAAGGCTAGACCCGATCAATCAGGGTGGGTCAAGTCCTACTACTGTCCTACTACCTGAGGCTACGGGGGCTCGTGTCGTGTAATTAGTCCAGAAAACGGTGATGTTACAAACTTCGTTTTATTAGTAAGAACAGCGAAACCAATATTAAGATTTTTAGTCATTTGCAGAATTTTGGAATTGCTAAGTTTGTTCCGAGTCAGAGTTAGGTGAAATATTATTCTATTTTATTATGAATCACGCGTAGAACTGTGAGAATAAAATAGTTCATTTGTTGCGATAAGATTTTAAATATTACCACATTTCATGATTTGTACAATTTTGAAATTGCTACCCGACTAGAATTTCAGTTAGGCATGCCTAAAGACGAATGTGGGCCTAATGCGGAAACAATTAGGCATCCATAAATGCTGCAAGAATAATCGTTACCGCATTAGGTCCTAATTCGGAAGGAATTATGCATGCCTAAGTTGGGCATTCTTAACAGTTGCCATACGTGGCTCAAATGGGGGTGGCCGAGCGCACGCCTAACAGTTGCCATACGTGGCCCAAATGGGGGTGGCCGAGCGCACGCCTAAGTTAGGCATTCCTAACAGTTGCCATACGTGGCTGAAATGGGGATGGCCGAGCGCACGCCTAAGTTGGGCATTCCTAACTGTTGCGATACGTGGCCCAAATCGGGGTGGCCGAGTGCACGCTTAGGTTGGGCATTCCTAACAGTGGCCCAAATGGGGGTGGCCGAGAGCACGCCTAAGTTAGGCATCCGTAGCAGTTGCGATACGTGGCTGAAATGGGGATGGCCGAGTGCACGCCTAAGTTAGGCATTCCTAACAGTTGCCATACGTGGCCCAAATGGGGGTGGCCGAGCGCACGTCTAAGTTAGGCATCCGTAGCAGTTGCCATACGTGGCTGAAATGGGGATGGCCGAGCGCACACCTAGATTAGGTGGAGTGGGGCTCTGAAACTTATAAGTAGAAAATTTGCAGACATCTCAGTGTCGGACGTACGCTTGCGTGAGACGCTTGCAATGACAGCCTAATAAAGCTATTCTAATATGGGCCTAATGCGGTTGGCCTCATTGGGGAAGCCTAATGCAGCCCTAACGCGGCTTTCCCAATTAGGCGGTCGTGAATATTCCGCGTTACACACCGCATGCGGGCCTAACAGGCAAATTAGGCTAGCCTAATGCGGATCTAATATCTGCCTAACTGAAATTTTTAGTCGGGTGAGTTCGTTCTGAGTTCTAAGTAAATTTATAATATACTTGTTGTAATGAGCTTTTTAAATACTTCGTTCGAAGGATATTGAAAACGGTGGGATTTTATTATGAAAAATTTTATTTACTTAAATTTATTTTCAGTTCAATTCGTGATTAAGCCTTAGCGATGAAAATTTTGAGTAATGTAGGTAAGTTCTTACTTTGTGACTGCTTGAACTAAAAATAAATTTACTTTGTCAAATATTATAATTTCTTGTGTTACTATACCATTTCCTTTCTCAACTTTGTTTCGTTGTCAAGAAATTTTTGAAGTACATATTTCAGATACAACGTTAAGGATTTCATTTTATACTTGAGGATACAGTGATACATATCTCTCGTACTGTCGCCCTGGTCGGAACGGAAAAGCGTCAGTTTGGGTCCAAGAGACACGGTTTTCGAGGGTCGCAAGCCCGCCTTTGTAGTTCGCCGAACGAGGACGGGCAACGAATGAAAGATAAGGGCGAAACGAGGATCGAGGATCCAAAGTGAACCAAATTCAAAATGCGTAGTTCTAAATAAAATGAAAAGCCGGAATTCCATTGACGAAAGTGAAGGGATTTCAACCAAAAAAAAACCACAGTTTCTAAATTCTTAATACGACACGACGCGAAAGATTTCGGTTGATTTGAATTTTTCACAACTTTCATCAACGTAGTATTTGTATCGTTCACAATACATACATATATGCTTTTAGTACGCATATATGTATATGGCTCAATGAACGTGCGCCATTCGCCAAGAGATTTAATCATAGACACTGAACTGCACGTACGTATACGCAATTCTCTTTGAACTCGTGTTCACATAGCTGTCTTGATTAAACTTCAGCTTGTAGTCCTTCGGGAATTGGCAGATATTCGAATTCTCGGTTACTCTACTTTGCCTTTGTTTTCATGCATAAATCTACTAGAATTAATTATATATTATTGCTGTGCATATTAATTAATACCTCCAATACATCAAATAATAGTTTTCACTATTAAAAATTTTGTAAAATATATTGAAAATTTGAATATTCAATTTTTCACTATGAATGATTTATTTGTATCGTAATATTTAAAAAATAAGTACAAATTTTGAAGAAAATATTTGCAGTAGAAATCTATTACAAATGTGAAGCTGGAATTCAAGAGTGTATTTCAGTCAAGAGTAAATAATCAATACCTTCATACGAGGTAGTGAATAAAATATATTTAGATTTAAAATGCATTTGAGAAAATTGCATATTCATACGCTGCATTTTATATTAGAAAATTGATAGTGTTGGTAATAATTCAGTATACGTATAAACGCAAACGTGAGAGATAAATTTAAAATTCAGAAACGTGAAAAATAGTACGATACAGTCTGCAGAAGAAATTATACAGCTTCTAACAAAATAACTTTGAATCAGTTTTATCAGACTACAGTCAGACTATAATAAGAAGACCATGTTCCTTTTGATAAAAGATTAAAAATCATGAAAAAGCAAAAAATTCTACAAATCCAAGAAACTTCCTTTCGATTATTGTTTCACCAAAAACAATATTTTACTTTCATACTGTAACGTTTATTTTTTAATTACGCTACTCCATACTCTAAAGTGTTTTTCTTGAAAACAGAAACTTTCCTACACTTCTAAATTTTTCTCATTAAAACCTGAAGAGCACCCAAATACTGAAAACGAAAAGAAGAAAGAAACTGCAGAAATCTTGAACAATCCTGTTTCCCAAGTCAACATAATTTATCCCTCTGCCAAACAGATTAGACGTTTCAAGACTCGCAGCTTGTAAGTCTTCGTTTCTTTTTTTTTTTTGTCGTAAATAAAGGATGCACAGGCTCTGTCCGGCATGTTGAACGAAAATAGAGAAGGAAAAGAAGGAAAAAAAAGTAAAGATGAAAAAGATGAAAAACGAAGAAAAGAAAAAAATGAAACTCGCATGGGATACAGTGATAACAAAGAAAGTCGTGAATCATTGCTGGCGCAGCGCTGGTGACACGTGCACACGCCTGCATACATATGCACATTTCCAGTTACGCGCGTCTAATTACTAGCTTCGCCGTATTTCGTGCAGGACCTATTTTAAGGTGGCGCTTCACTTTTCGCCGGCTCGCACACGCCTCAAGGAATTCCTTTCAACGTCAGGGAAGATACGTTGTCCGATAAGAGCGAATGAAAAGCAACCAGGGAAGACGACGGTTCGTAAATTAAAATGGGAAATTTTAAGGAAGCGAATCGAGATGCTTCCGGGTTCATTTTAGGGAATTTTTGCGGCGATGTGAATATTTATCATTTTCGTTAGAAATTTTGGGAATTTTTGCGGAAATGTGAATATTTACCATTTGCGTTCGAAATTGTGGGGAATTTTTGCGGCGATGTGAATATTTACCGTTTGCGTTCGAAATTTTGGGAATTTTTGCGGCAATGTTAATATTTACCATTTGCGTTCGAAATTTTGGGAATTTTTGCGGCAATGTGAATATTTATCATTTTCATTATAAATTGTAGAATTGTAATATTAGGGAATTTTTGCGGCAATGTGAATATTTACCATTTGCGTTCGAAATTTTGGGAATTTTTGCGGCAATGTGAAGATTTATCATTTTCATTATAAATTGTAGAATTGTAATATTCGGGAATTTTTGCGGCAATGTGAATATTTACCATTTGCTTTCGAAATTTAGGGAATTTTTTGTGCAGAGTGTGAGAAAATGCGTCCCGAAGACGGTGAAGCGACCACCTTGAAGCCACGCCCAGCGCGCTCGGTGGGGGTGACTCCGCCCCTTTGGGTCTCTCCCTGGGCCTGTTCGCGTAGGGGTGGACGGGGATCGGCAGGACGACGCGTCCTCGCTCTTCACGAGACCCCCGAAGCACACTTTTTGCGAACGACGCTCAGATAACGCGGATATAATTCTTGTGTAACATATACTATTGTAAAAACGTAGACACGTTCAATTAATTTCACGCCCACCCTACTCCGAGTCAGAGTACTTTCTGACAAGAGTGAATATTTATCATTTTCGTTCGAAAATTTGAGAATTTTTTGTGCAATGTGAATGTTTATCATTTTCATTAGAAATTGTAGAATTATAATATTAGGGAATTTTTTGGGCAATGTGAATATTTATCATTATCGTTCGAAATATAAGGAATTTCTTGTGCAATATTTACCATTTTCGTTAGAAA